GACCCCTCGCACCTCGGCGCTTCCCGGCGGGTCAGACAGCACCCGCTTGCACGGGTGTTGAGTGGGAAGGGGGTTGGGGTTTACGCCAGACTGCCCTGCTGGAGAGGACACCAAGTGTCCCTGCTGTGGGGCAGCTCCAACGGAGTGCCACTGGTGGGGGTCACATCCACCGTGGGCGTCTGTCTGGGCCTGGGCCAGAGCAGCCAGCTCAGGGCTGGGTTTGCATCCAGCTGTGCTGAAACGGGGCGGAGGGAAGGCGGTGCGGGAGTGAAGGGGGGGTCCAGAGTCACTCAGGAGTAGTCATGTGTCAGAAAGCCGCCTTTCGTGCCCAGAGAGCAGGTGAAAACACATCAGCCCCGTGGGAAGCTAGTGACACGCGGGCCAGCACGCAGCACAGGTCACTGGGGGAGTAAGTCTTCGCACCAGTACTGTTTCTACATGAGATTTTAAGGGTGCGCTGCTGGTTTCTGAGAGCTTCCCAGAGACCTAAAAGCAAAGGAAGGCAGAAAGTGCAGGGTCACAAACCCCAAAAGCTGGGGGGTTGCAGTTACATAGAGGATTGCCTCCCATCTGCTTCACTGAGTCGCCCAACAGCTGGACAAGGGGGATGTTTCTGCTTTGTAGCCTTACGAGGTGAAGCCAGGGAAGGTGTGGGCTGGCTGCCTCCGGCTGAACTCGCCTCTGAGGTCTCTGCTCAGACACAGGCAGCAGAAGCACTGAAACCAGAGGATCCCAGTTCACAGAATAGTCCTGTAATTCATAGAAACCAGAGAAAGTAACGTGCCTCCAAGAGAGGTCGCCCCAGTTGGTGGGACCCGGCCGCTGCAACACTCAGGTACCGCTTCGGGCTTTGGCAAGCGACGTCTCCCTTCACTGGAGCGTGGCAGCATCAGCTTAGCAGGGGAGTTTGGGGAGATCTCCACAGCTTTTGGGTCTCACGGGCTGCACCCTCACTGCCATCCCAGTTCAGCACAAACTCACTGGTGCTGGCTTCTCATCTGCTGCTCCTGTGGTCTGGGAAGTCCCAGGGAAGAAACCCAGGGCCTGGCTGGGGCAGTTGTTCAGATTTCTTCATCCTTGTCCCCTACCCCGGTGTTTGAGTGGCAGCAGCTCAGGGCTGTGAGCTGCCCCCGGGGTCTCTACGGATGTGGCGGAAGAGCTCCAGCTGCCAGCCAGATGTGGTGGCCCGGCCTGGAGCGCACAGGCAGTGCCCCTTGTTGCAGGGGCTGCTTTCCTCTTCGGCTGTTCGAACTCGCCAGCTATTTCATAACCAAGAACGCGGGTATTTGAGGGTGACTCGTGAGGCATCGCACCCACCTGGACTGAGAGTAGGTTTTATGTGCCGTAGTAAAATCTGCAGCCACGTGGTCTTAGGAGGGAGCTGTCAGGGCCCAGCAGCAGAAGGAGATCTTGCTGGCTCGGCCAAGGCAATGTCTCCCCCTGAGCGTTTCCTCAGCCCCTCCCTCTCGATACTGCCACTGACAGCTGACAATTAAATGTGGTTCTGGGAGAAGGTGAGGGAGCCA